CTGGCGGAGCTTTGGGGAGGGGAGCTGGACGGGGGAGGGGGCAGGAAGTCGCGGCTGGGAGCAGGCTGCGGTGGTGTGGGTCCGGTCGGGGAGCGGCGGCACTGTAATCGCGTTCGTATATTCCTTTACCGGTGTTACTGTTACTGTTTTCTCTTGCTTTTGCTGTTCTGTTAAACTGCTTTTATCTCAACCCACGAGTTTCTGCCTTATTCCTTCTGATTTTGCCCAAGGCTGTGGGAGTTGCGCGAGCGGCCGCGTGGTTCTTTGTTCCTGGCTGGGGCCAAACCACGACACAATTATATCATAGTTTCCTTGCTGTACAATGGCCTCCAGCTCTTCCTGTTTATTCCCCATGCCTCGTGCATTAGTGTAGATGCACTTCAGCTGGGCTAATTGTCCTGCCACTTTCTTGGGAGGACAAGCCTTAATTCGCACCTGATCATGCTCACACACTTCTGTAGTTACCAAATTATCACTACGCCTCGTGTCTCTGCTGCCACACAAACCCCCATCCCCTGCAGTCACTGAGACAGACTGCAAGACCTTGCTAATGCTTTTACCCAGAAACACTGGTATGCTGCTCCCAGGCACCACTTTTGTAATTCTGGTTTCATCCCCATCCCCCTTCAAACCTAGTTTAAAGCCCTATGAATGAGCCCTGCTAATTCTTGTCCCAGGATCTTTCTTCCCTTTCGGTTTAGGCTATCCCCACCTGTTGCCAGCATGCCTGCTTTCCTGTAGACCAGCCCATGATCAAAGAAGCCAAAGTTCTGCCAGATGCACCAGCACCAGCCTCAGAGCCAGGAGTTAATTTGCTGGATCCTCCCATTTATACCCTCGTCATCCCTGGCAAATGGTGGGATAGAGGAGAACACTATTTGTGTTCCTGATCCCTTAACCAGCCGTCCCAGGGCCTGAAAGTCATTCTCCATTGCCTTTAGACTTCTGGTACCTACCTCTTCACCACCTGCCTGAAATATCATTAGTGGGTAGTAATCTGATGTCTGAACCAGGGAAGGGAGTTTTCTCCGTATTTCCTTAATTCTCACCCCAGGGAGGCAGATGACTTCCCTGTGGGATGGGTCAGGTCTACAAATAGGGCCTTCTTTTCCCCTCAGAAGGGAGTCAGCCACTACAATTACCTTCCTTCCTTTCTTGGTTGAGGAAGTCCTAAGGCGTGGGGGTGAGTGACTAGCCCTGGGCGACTCACTGGTTGGATCGTGCTCTCCATCCTCAGTCGAGTTGTCCTCGATTTCCAAAGCCCCATACCTATTATGCAAAGGCAACTGGGATGGTGAGGGGGGCCGTGAGGGGTTTCGCTTGCCTCTCCGAGGAGGGATTTGACTCCACTCCCCCTTATCCCTCGAGTCCCCTCCTTCTGCCTGGTGACAGGAGGGTAGGGGATCATCCATTTCTGATAGGGCCTCTTCCTGCTGCCTTTGCCTCAGGGTATGGCTCCACCAATCTATTGTCTACTGTCTACTACTGTAATGCTCCGAGGCCTGGTGTTTGTTTTCTAATAAGCCTGCAGAAGTCTGTCCTCCAGTTCCCTTCCATCCCCAATGTGCTTTTCATTACTCCACCTGGAACTCTTACAACAAGATGCAGGGATGGGAGTGAGTTCCATGTTTCAAGTCTGTTGTCTCTCATTCACAGGCCAATTTACTATCAAAGCTGGAGAGTCCAATAGCAAAGGCCTGAAGAGCACAGAGAGGATAATTGTAGTCCAGAGTGAACACATCTTCTGCTACACGACCAAACTGCATCACAATGTAGTCAGCTGGGGAGAAAAGAAAGATTCAGAAACGAACAATTTCACAGTGAAACAAAGAAAAAAAGCCAAACAAAACCAACCACAAACAAAAACCCACACATGTTTGGCAGTCCCAAATATATGTGGTAGGTGTATCCATTCTTTCCCACCAGAGTGGCCTTGAAGTCTGTTCTCTAGAGCGACTGTGTTATTCTAGAGGTTACCTTTCTTCTCAGAACCAAAGCTCAAACCACTCTTTTGCTGGGCTGAAGGTGCCATATTAATCCTTTTCTTTCCCTTCAGGAAGCTTGCATTTGCCCCCTCTTTTGCTGCAGCGATGGACAGCAGTCTCTGCACCCACCCCAGAAAAAGTGAGGCCTTATATAATTTCCTGGAAAGCTAAGAAGCCCAGTAATCCTGAGCTGAATTCCTCCCCCCAGCCTCCCTCTCCAGGAAAAATGGCCTATTCCTCCCAAACCTCATGAAATAAATTGGTTTCTCCCTGTCTGAATAAGCCCCACACACTCTCCACCAGACTCTTACGGTCATTGTCATGGACAATCTGGAAATTCTTCACCGAGGCCTGAGTGACTCTCCCATGGAAGTTCAAAACATAGGATTGAGTATCATCATTCCAGACTGGAGCTTTGTTGTGCAACTCAATGAGGTTCTCTAAAGTTTTGGTTTGCCATTTTGACAGCAGACTCTCGTGTTCCTGTTTAGAAGAAAGAAATATATTTATCAGATTTGGAATCGGTCTGCTTTTGAGTACTGCCTCTCATGTGTGTGCACTCTGTCACTTGAAGGTCATTCCCTGTTTAATGAAATACAACGGCAGCACTTAAACTCAGTCCTATTGAAAATTTTCTGCAAGTACCAGCTATAGTAACTGTTTTAGTATTGCATACAGATATGATAGTGTATTTTTGAGGATAATCTAAGTAAAACTTACTGTTCAGTTTAAACTAGTTACTTTATACCTTATTTTTCTCTCTATTTACTTTTTTAAAGATCCAAAAAGAACTTTGAGAATTGGGACCAACAAAGTGCATTTAGATGCATTTTTTCCTCCTATAAAGTGAGGGCAGTATTGCTTAATTGGAGGCATCACAGTACAGAGAAGGAAGACAAAAACAGAGTCAAGTCCCTACCCTCAAAGCTTTGCCAGCTGTTCAGAACAGCTTTGTGTTTTAGCCTTGTCCACTGTCAGTACGCTTACCTGTTAGAAAAACAGTTGGGAATATAGGGGAGAAAAATAAAGGCATGGCCACGGAATCGTTAGTGTACTGACGGAGGAGATAGCAATACATATTGAAAGAAGATGAATAAATTACCACCACCAGATACAATTTTCCTGCCCATTCACAAAATTAAACCTCTTTTCCAGGCTCTCATGACACTGAATTTCCACTCTTGAAGATTTTTTTTGTCTGACCTCAACAAGTACACCCTTGTCATGCTCATATCTACTCACAACATGGCTGCAGAAACTAGCTTAAAACACTGACCGAGTCTTTCAGTTGGCGCTTGTCCTTTCTGTCTTTTGGTCTTCTATCACACCAAATACAAAACCCACATTAAGTGAACTGAAAAATTTTTATCATACACCTTAAATGTATCTTCAGATACAGTTCTGTAAGCCTTTAGCTATAATGTTCCCCATATGTGTAAGAAATCCTCACTAAATAGTCACCAGAAGATTCCATTCTTCTCCTTATCCCACTTTTTCCTTAAAGAATCTTCCTTTTCTGTGATTCCTACAAAGAGACTGACAACATTCTGATCAAAAATGTATTTACTCTCTTGCTACTACACCAGAATACCACCTTATCTGTTTATTATCTATCTGTTGTAATTCATATACTGTCTAAGAATGTAAGCTCCTGGGAGAAGCAAGTTTGTTCTTTGTTCATCCAACTCTCAGCATAACAGGGTCCCACCCATGAGGAGGCGTTGTAGGTGCAACAGCAACAACACACTAGCCATTCCAATAGCTAAGTAAACAATTTTTAAGCTGACCAAAGGACAAGTAAGGATACAAACACTATTCAGAAGGCTACAAATTAGGTAAAAGGCAAGAACCACTTAATCAACACCTTTAGGCTACACTGTATTTACTCTCCATGAGACTTGCAAAAGCCCTGGGTATTAACAACCTCAATCGAAAAGCCATGATTGTCAGTAACACCCAAACCTCTACAAGACAGTTTTAGCCTCTTCCTTCACTCTGTAACATGACCAAACTTTGTAACTCACATTACGTGGACGGATTGGAATTCGCTTATGATTCATATTCATTCCTGGAATGATCACAGACATTTTTCTGGGACCCTTGAATCCTAACACATTGGTTTCCTGAAAGACAAGGAAAGACATTACTTTCAGTAAATAAGATACTTCATCTCAAAGAAGGAAAGAGGAAAACTGAACTTGAATCCACATTTATATCGAATTTTAGAGACTTGCTAGCTACAACTGTAGGAGCAGTTGTCTAACTGCAACTGTGTTTAATCACTGAGAATAGCTTTATCTCCCATTTTGAGAACCACGTTAAAAGACATACATAGTAATACCTAATTTAGAGCACATTCGTTATCCTACTGAAACATTTATGACAAACTCAGATAAGTGCAATTTCCAGGCATAAGCTTTTGCATCTGAGGCAAAAACGTGCTAAAATCTTGCTAGTGAACAATCCTTAAGTATGAACAAAGGCAATATCTTTGACCTGAGTCTGTTATCAATATATCACCACTTAGGCTAAAAAGTTCATAACAAATGAGTGACATTCCTCTTTAGGTGTTGTTATTTGTGTTTAAGAGCATACCTACAATTTTCTCTCAAATCATGCTCTTTTATAAATTACTAAGAACAGACCCAGAAGGCAGAGTACCCAGCATCTGTCCAAGCTTCAATCTTAAGCAGATTTTTCCAGAGTACTGCAGGAGACTGCTCAAAGTAGACTGAGTATAAAAAGAAAAGGAAAAATGTCTTGGCATTCTCAAACCATCCATTTAATAATGTCAACCAAAATACAAGGGTCTATCTAAAGTATTCTGTAACAATGTCAGTGACAACCTTTAAAATTCCCAAAGACCAATTAATAAAACAGAATCTTTTAGAAATACTGGACTGACAGAAGTGATACAGCTTCACCTAACATGCTAGTGCATTTTGCAGACACAGAACAAAGGTCTTTGGAGTTGCAACCTCTATTATTTCAGTTCAGAAAATCTAGGGGCACACATGAGACTAAGGGTATTGATTTTATTCATATTTACTTTATGAGCTTCTTGTAGATAAAAGTTCAGAAATCTGAAAAGCTGTCTTTATATTATCTACTGTACTCATTTTAAACTTTAGGACTAGAATATGAAACAATGTGACATGAGAACCCTTGCATAATTCTAGAGCAACTACAAGTGCCGCCTCACTCTAACGCCTATACCAAGGTGATCCACAAGACCAGAAGAAGAAAACATCTCTAGGACAGAGCTAGTGTATCATGATTTCCCCTGGAACCATATCCTTACCAACAACAAGCCGCTACTGAAATAATACCAGCTCTTCCAATCCACCAAAATGCCTTTGGTTCTGCAAAAAATAACTCTGCTTCACAGGGTACTCCCAGTTCCTTCTTCATGTCCACCAGATACCAGCTGGGCAAGAGGCAGTTCATGCTGTGGCTGGCTCCATGTAAAGGATCTGCTGACTGGCCGCACACTGAACGATGGTCATCAGGATGTTAGTTTGGGTCTCTCTCCCTCACCTGGCATTATTTTTTTTTTTTTCATTAAACTTGAAAGAACTTATCTTTGAGGCCTCTGCCCTTTGTTGTATCTGGTTGAAACCATTTAGTTGGTTCCAAAGTTAAGTGGGGAAGGCTGCCAGGCAGCATGATTTTGTAAGCCCTGTTTCCTCGGTATCCAGGCAACAAAAAAGAAAGGGGCAAAAGGGGAGAGGCACTACTTACATAACAAATAGCTGCAAGCTCCTGTCTCATATCAGCTTTTTCCACTAGACCTCGTGCCTTGACTGGGCTAACTCCATGGTCATAGACTGTAAATTTAGTTCCCATGAGGTTTGACCTAATGTCAGGTTATGGAAAGACAAAGAAAGAGAGGCATCAATGGAAAGTTTTGTCATCTTCTGAAGGTGCTCGTACAGCAAAGTGAAAACAGACATCTCCTGCCATCTGAATCTTTCTATTGCCAGCTCAGTAAGGAGCTTCTGCAAAGTGCCTGTGGTGAACTGAGCCTGTAACCTATCCTGGAAAAGCATCAAGGCAGAATTCCTTGTCTGAATTGCCACAGTGAATAGTAATGCTGAAGAAAGGTTGCCAACCCAGGTGAATGCAGATTACATTAAGCAGGACAATGCAAGTTCATTCTCTCTGAATGGATGATGCGAGTTCATTCTCTCTGAATTAATACCAGATTGCTATTCATAACTCCAACTCAACTAAAATGAAAATTCAATCTCTCCTGTCTGTAGTTTTCATCTGTAGTTCTCACCTGAGTTTTCCAATGAAACTTTCCCCTTCCCGGGATAAATCAGTTGGGTCAACAGATATGAGGTAATTGGATGTTTTGCTCTTTTTTCGTTTTCTCCCTGCAAGAAGGAATGTCTGGAAATACAAAACTTTGATCAAGACTAGAGTTTTGTAAGAATGCAGAGGCATTGTTATCCAAACTGTTATGTCTCCATTTCCCATATCCATTCCCTTTTTTGTTCTGCGCTATTATTACTCTCTCCACAATTTTGATATCTTCCACAAGTGCACAGCCTGAAATCCTGTTCCTCCAACCAGCTCACTTGGCAGTCTAGATTTAATGCAACTGTCCTTTCTAGTCTTCCCTCCTTTTCTTCTGGAGCAGGTCAGTCTCCCTGCTTTTCTTTATTCTTGATATTTTTATGCTTTTTTAATTTCATCTTTCAGTGTATTACGGCTTTTAAACCTGCTAGTTCCCTCCTTAGTGTCTTGGCCAAACATAAGCTGTCCTCCATCTGCATGCTGGCTCCCCTCAGCTTCTGGTTTCTTAACAGAAGCTCTCCCTTACACCAAAAATATTCTGTGATAGGAGTACAATAGCCAAGATACTGTGTGATGCTTCCAATACCTTTCTGTTGTCATCCCTTTCCAGATGCATGTAATAAGTAGGAAAGAGGCCCCGGTCCATTCCCTTCTTATCTCTAGTGATTCGACACTTGACTGTAATACCACGGGGTGCAGGGCGTAATGCAAAATCCTCCAAGTTCTCTACTTCTCCCAGCTGTGCATCTGCCTGAGGGGATGGACTGCAGGAAGCACCTGTTTCCTGTGGGAAGAAACATCATATTAGAAAATTAGTATCAGATCGGAGGCTCTGGTATTCTCCAAGAAAAGAAAGGCCTTTCGAAAAAGATGATCTCATGTCTCCAGAAGATATTTGGGAAAGAGAGACAGACCACCAGTGCTTCTCTGAAGAAAGTGGCTGAAGACTTTTACTCTGAGGAAACACTATCCTTCCAAGGGGAGGTGAGACAAAGTACCCATTAACCAGAGATAAGTGAATTGCTAGGAAGGGGAAAATACGATGAGACACTGTAAATATTCTAAGCAAAGAGCATCTGCACTTTTAGAACTTCAAACACGCTGTGGGAAATAATGCAGCATGATAAACTGGAGTCATGGATGCTGCAGTAAGATGGGCTGGAATTTTTGTGACCGAGATTATGGTAGTTTGGAACAGTAGCAGAAATGGAGTAAGCTGATGGTGGAACCATCTCAACTAAATGCTCTAAGAACCTTAAAACAATGCGTACAGTCAGGTTGCAAGTTATGGTCACCAAAGAAACTGGAATTCTAATGGAAAACTGGTATACATCATTAAAGTAATTTTTTCTTAGAGGCAGCTGAATCCTGTGGATTGTTGAACTTAGGAGATTCCTCCCTTACTGGGCCTTGGAGATGAGGCTGCTGGTTTATCTCCATTCCCAGTGTCCGGGTTCTGGTGGGGATAGGATTAATTTTCCCAAGGATCTGGCACAGATATGGGACACAGGTATTCCATACCATGTGATGCCATGGCCAGTACATAGCAGTGGACCTGGCTGGGGGAAGGGGCAGTAGCCCTGGGGGAGCGGGCTGGGGCTTCCTGGGTCCAGTCAGTGAGCAGTGGTACAGTAATCGTGCCTTGTACATTCCTCTATCAGTATTATTGTTGTTGTTTCCCTCTTTCCTTTGCTGTTCTTTTAAACTGCCTTCATCTCAACCCACGAGTTTTGCCCTTTTCTTCTGATTCTCCCCCACAGCTGTGGGGCGGTGAGCAAGCTGCCACGTTGTTCTTTGTTGCTGGCTGAGGCCAAACCACAACACTCAGATACAGCCCATAAGAAGTATGAGTGAATACACACAGAGACACACACATAGAGACTTGAAATTCACTAGTGGCTGTCACCTGTCCTTTCTCCAGCACCCCCGACCCGGTATCTCCAGCAGCTGGCACCCACAGCCCAGTCTCCCAAGTAGCAAACACCCAGACCTCTTGTGCTACTCACCCACTAGCGTAGCACAACATACATACTGTCACCTCACAAATATAGTCACATGGGTCTTTTGAATAGTAGCATAGACTTTTAAGGCTGACCCACATCCATGCCCAACCGCTATGCCCTTTATCTGGTCACTAACTCAGACCCTGGGTCCTCCTGATGCTGGTCTCTTCCAACTCGCTGGCTAGTCCAGCATATAGTTTGTCAGCATATGTATGTATGTATCTCTCTCACACACACACACATGCACAATAACATATTCACACAGAAAACAGTTAGAAACAGGGTTTTAGAAGATGGTAGGCCACACTGCAGTAATCAGGCACGAAGCTTGGCCAGACAAGCATAGTCTTGCAGCTGGTGCCTTTTACCTCCTTTACTCCCTGTTTTCCCACACCTATTACTCCCTGATCCGTCTTGGCCCCTTTCTTTTCCCTTCCCCTAAACACCCTAACAACAGTTTTGTCCAATCCCAGCGTTCTCTGTTCCATCCCAAAATTCTGTTCCCCTTGCATTCCACAATCAGGCAGTGTTTCCTCTTAAATTTGCATGACATTTCAGAGTTTCTCTGCGTCATCTTGGTGGATTTTACATCAGAGACAATGGCCTAACATGTCTCCTTTGAGGGTCATAGGAGTAGCTGATTCATAGTGCTTCACTGATTAGGCTACTTGGGTTCCTCCACCCACCATTGTTCCTTTGATCGTTACTAGGTCTTGTGTTTAACTCAATGGCCCTTCAGTCAGATAACCTGACAATCACGACCTTCCTCTGCCTTCAGGCATTAACACACTGGCTACTGTAGTTGCAACTACTATATTTAACCCAGTGCTCAAGGGGTTAGTACAAAACTCAAGCATGTGCCCAGCCCTTATCAGAAATGGATTTCAAGACACTTACTGCAAAAGATTTCTCACTGGTTGCAGAATTAGGCCTCTCAGATTCAGGACACGTTGAATGAGATGCTGGTCTCTTATTAGCTTCTTCCTCTTCTGTGTCCTCCTCATCAAAATTCAAACTGCCTGAAATTCCTGTCAGAATATGGGATCAAGCAGGTAACCTCTGAATGAAGGTTTCATGAGTTCATGGCATCACTAATTCATATGTGACACTTGTACAGCTATTCTGCTCTCACTCTTTTATCTAATTTCTGTTGTTTCTACTACTGATTTTCTTCATGTGCTATATTGCTTCCTGAGCCTTGTAATTCAAACCCCTAGTGACATTTTGCAGCTGTCACTGTGCAGATGATTAAGCAGCTGTCAGGCTTTTATTAATATATATTTTACATGATGTTACATGATGTAACATATTGCTTAGTATATGCTGTCATTCAATTATTTTTGCCTATTTTCATGTAAAAAGCTCTCCCTGTCTGAAGAACAAAAAAAAGGATATCCAGATCAATATGCTGACACCTATCCTGTACGTTGGACTCTGTACAGTTTACATCCTTTGCCATTTCCCCTTAGTCTTATACACACTGAAATGGAGTATGATAATTTTTCAGTAAGGGCCCATCCTATTCTTACATCAGTAGCAATAACTCAGGTCTCATGGATACTGCTAATGATTTGATTTTTAAAACGGAAGCACAGACTGAGTAGTTCCAGGACTTATTTATTTAATCTTAACCTAAGTACAGTTATGTAGAGATGACTGTGGGTACATAACTAAAATAACTCTGAATAAAGACATTTATAAAGAGCTTCCGTACACATCACTGTTTGGCATTTCCTTCTACTTGGAACTGCATCATTTTGTTCTGTGATTCCATTCTTAAATTTGGCTGTAGAATAGAAAAGCGCATAATGCACTATAGAAAATGAACACACTCAGCCTGCTAAGCTGAATTATTTTCTGAGAGCCAATGGTCCAACAGGGCACTGCATGGAAGGGGCATTGCTAGGAGTTCTTTGTCTCAGATGAAACAGAAAAATGTAGTCTTAACAACCTGTCAGTAAACTTCCCAAAGCACATTTGGAGGAAAGGCGTTAACCCTAGTACTCCAGCCAATTTCAAAATTCACTGTTTATATTCTACCTCCACTAATTTCCCCTGAAGTTTCTGGATATTATCTCCTGCTTCCTTTCCTAACTCTTGTGTAATGTTGCTATCCATAGGTAAGCAGCTGTTGTGTCTGACAATTGAATGGAAGTATTTCTACATATAGTAGTACCTTAATACGTAAAGTGTACTGGAAACATTCTGGGAGACAGGGTCTGCAAAATAAAAACATGCTGTGTACCATATTAAACACTACCCATTATTTTGCTGCGCAGTGCTTAGGCTGCATGCAACAAAAAAGGTTTCCTGTGGTGCTGGCAGCAACATAAGATACTTGGCAGACAGAGATGGACGCTCCACTGGGAAACTACTCAATGGGATATAACTATTGAATATAAAACTGTTGATTGTGACAGCCTCTGACTCAGGAAGAACACCTTTCCTGTTAGTCTCATAAACAGTTAAATTACAGCATCTTCTGGCTATAGAGGGTTCTGCTGTTGTGAAAATATTCAAGCATAATATCCAGATATAACATATATGGAATCAAAACACCTCAAACTTTAGCAAAATGTGAAGTATAGTAGTCACCAATCATATTTTGTCACCAACTTCCTTGAAAGGGCCAGAAATTACACAGCATATTGACAAACCTTTAAAATATAACCGGTATGTTCCAATTAATATCAGAAGAAGGAATTGCAGTTCTGGATTTATACATTTAAAAGTAATATCCTACAGACACTTGCTTGATGAATCCTCATATTTTTTAGGGTTTTTTTTTTAATGCTACTGAAAAAAAAATTATAAGAAGTAGAAGAACTCTGAAAAAGACCTTTGCCCATTATCAACTCATACCTCGTTTTTGTAAGATTTCTTGCAGATCTGGCTTGCTTGCTGGGTCTATTAGAGCCTCTCCATCATTTTCCTGATCTGCATTGTCCTCTGTTTTGGAAGATCCAGCAGACAGAGTTTGGAGCTTGGTCCCCAAATCTTGCACTTCCGATTTCAGGAAAGCAGCTGGTCCATCGATGCCTGAAGGCCAAAATGAAACAGAACGCTAAAGTCCATTTTTTATGTCTACAGACACATCCCAGGATAGTTCTTCTTTTCATCTTCCCTTGCTCAAGCATCCCGTTAAAGTACTGACATATACTTGTTCAACTTTTGTCAGAAGACTTGGGAGGAATCAGTCCTGACTCTGGTACAGACCGCCTACTACTTTTAATGTAACAGGGATCAGTTTCTCCATTTATAAATGTAGTGATTGCATCTACTTTTTTACATGGGCTTAAGCAATTAAAATGAGTTGTATTTGTAATTCACATCGATGTCCTTCAATTTATTTATGGGCAACTACTTGATTTTCTTTTCCTTCATGTTCCTTGTTTGCTCCTGTGCCAGTGAGTGCGTGCTCTACAGTGAACATCACAAATCAATTTGATAAAAATATCTACAGCCACAGGCAGAAAAAAACTGTAAATGGATGCCCTCTATCTTTTTTGTAGAAATGAAAATTCCACTTTTAAACATGCAACACAGCTGTGCACTGCACTTTGTAATTGATGGAGACGTCTTGATGTCAGGGTCTGGCATAATACTTAATATATGTTTGTGTGGCACACAATATGTAAGTGTAGTTCCAGCTTTGGATGTCTTGCTTCCCCACTGTTTTCCTTCTTAAAACTTTACTGCTTTATCTAGTCATTAGATTTCTGACATGTTACTGCTGTTATCACTTCTTAACAGGATTTGTTTGTATTGAGGAAGCTTCAGAACTATGGAAGATAGTGAGGGAGCAGTTAGTTTTCATTTTAGTTTCTTGTAGTTTCAGTACTACTGAAGTCACCTAACTCAGAAGTTACATCAATCTTTTCTCTCACTCTCTTTTTGACTTAAAAGTGTCTTTTAACAGAAGCTTTCTCGCACCTGATTTTAAACACATAAATGCTACCATCCACATCACTACTCTCCTCCCCATCCAATGATACTGAAAGACATGTGGAGAGCAAGAAAAACATTCAAAAGACAGGGGATAACATAGTTCCAAATGTGATCTTAAAACCAGGTAACACTGGTTTGTTTGGGTTTTTAAAATTCTACTCCGCACATTAATTCCCTATTAATATAAAGGTGGTATTATAACATCCTGCAATAGCACGCATCTCAAAGCCCTAGGATGTTTCCTGTTACTTTCCTGATAGGCTGATGGGATCCTGGCTCTCATAAACTACTTTCTGACACTTCCACTGGAATGTTGGGGTTTCATCACTGCTCTTTTTTTTCCTCCTTATGACACAGAAGTTTTAAGGCTCTCACTACTGTATTTCTTTTCACTCTTAACAGAATGGTCACTATTTCACTTTAATGTTTTGAGACCACTGAGATATTGCCTTTGGCTCTGATATCACTTTGTGCTTGTGACTTTCTGGACCACTACAGCTTGTTTGTTATGTTTCAGTTATCTCCCTGAAGCCCACAGAAAACAACAGATGAGGTAGAAATCAGCAAGAATCTAATTCAGTATTCATAAGACTTTTGTCTTACTCTTGTCTACTTTATCATTCAGTCAGTCTTGAGGTGGAGTATACCATGATACCACTAAGAAAAGTACAGGCAGTCACTACTGGATTATTTCTTTTACCCTACAGCTTCAGAAGGGTCTCTTACTTTGGATTTGTATCTTCCTACCTTTATAGAAGTTCCTAACCCATTTCTACAGTTCTTCTTAGCCTAACACAAGGGAGAGATTACTCAAAGGGATAAACAAGCTTGATTACACCCCTTTCTATGTACAAAAGTAGAATTGTAGTACAGTATAGTTGAGCAATACTGAACTGTCAAAACAAACAAACAAAAACCTTACCTTGAATTTTGTGACAGCTGATAATCTTCATGTGCCTTCATGGCATTCTATTATTGTACATAGAAAGGTGTGTAATCAACCTTGTTTGTCACTTGACCACTGTCACAGCAATGCAGGTGCCCATCTCTGACACAAAACACATGCACTGGCATTTTGGGGGACATTGTTGCAATCAAGTTGATTACTTACCATGTAACATAACATCACTGTGGAAAGGGGTAGGAGTTTCTACTAAAGGAGTCTGCTCCTCACACCCTTTGGTCTTTGACCTACGCAGCTTTGCCTCAGGATTTGGCTGTACCATCAATGGATCAAGCCGTTTCTTCCTCTGCTTCTTCTCTAGAAGAGCTCTCTGTGAAATAAAGAAAAAGCATGAAATAAGGATGAGTAACCACATCCAGAGAGGCAGAAACCATGCCTTGGCCATTGTCAATGACATGTCACTGATCAGGATCTCCAATAAACCTGAGATACTCCTGTAATCTCTTACGAAAATCCTAGACACAGATATTAGTCTGTCTTTGGAGTGAGACATTGCCTTTGATTCTCCATCAGTGATGGGTGATGCGGACACCTTCTTATTTTCTGATCTATCCTGAGACTGTCAGCAGATAATTTTAACTCCTTTTAGGAGTTAAAAGTCTAAACTGCAGCAATCCTTAACATAATATAGACAAATTCAGCAGTCACTTATAATCCAACACAGCATGCTCATGCAGTTTTATTACTCCATGTATCCTACTTAAGCTGACAGAGCAGACAAAAGCTCAGGAGGACTCCCCGCTCTTTCCACTGCAGTCATGATTGGACTAAACATTACATCGTTTAGTACAACTTCCTGTTCCTCCCTGTTTTGTACAATTAAGCTAACTTTCTATTAAGAGAACTATCACCAAGACTGCCTGAAAATGCCAGAATAAAGATGAGAGCCCTTGTCCTATGCACTATATGGCAATTAAGTCTTTTACTGTATTAGCATAACATTTCTAAAAATCCTTAATCAGGGCTCACTTGGCACTGCAGTTACAAATGCTGTCACAATGCAGCAAAAGCAAGTTAGGACTTGCAAAGGAAAAGGCTTTTGTCTCAAAAGTTATAATCTAATAAGGAGAACTCAAAACAAATAGTTCCCAGAAACCAATGTTGGGAGATAAGACCTAGAGGAGAGGGGGGGAGGGGGGAGAATAAAATTACAGTCATTAAAATAAGACTGATCCAATAAAAAGAAAATTGATCTACCTTAGAAAATTTTTGTATGCAATTCAGGATTGAAAGGAAAGAATTGTAAATCCAAATGTTAAAAAATAATCCATTACTTTCCTGATATACATATACATCTATTGTTTATGATTTCCTTCTAAATGAGAATAGAAACAACTTCTAGACTTAAATCAAGGCAAATGGGGACATTTCACCATTTTAAAGGCAGTCACACTTAATCCTTAAAAGTTAAGGTAATGTATGAAGAAGAGGGAAAAATCATATTCTTATATCCTGTAATGCACCACAATGCAAACAATGTGCAAGCCCCTTTCCGTAGATGCAGTTTATCCATGCCTGCTTCTTAGGTACCTGAACACACCCTGAAAGTTGTTCTTGATGATAGAAACCCTTTCTCCATCAAATTCTTTTCAGTCTCCAAGGATCTATCAGATAAACAGTACCAACAATTCAATCCACTTGAGACATAGGCGTCTTTGGAACCTTTTCCTCTCCTATTATGCTTTTTCTCTCTCTCGTTGTTTTTTTCCTCTCCTATTAGGCTTTTTGTCTCAAGTGAGGTTAGTTTCTCATGCAACCTCTCCCTGAGGAATTCCAACACAACTCAGCCCTTGGTCCTTTATTCTTTCTGCTTTTTAAGCAGTTATCTAAAAAAAAAAAGCAACACCAAAAAAACCCAACACAACAAAACCAAAGAACAACAAAATACCAAACCAAAATGACCTTTTCTATTCAAACTCATAATTACACTTTGAAGACTGGACCGCAATGCAGGTAGTGTTTGTTACTGCAGAATTATTTGCAAGGATTGTCCTGCAGGGCAAAAATTGCACAGAATTCCAAAGACATTATCACATTGGTCTAAAAGAAAAAAAAGAAAATAAGCAGCAGAAGTCAAATTCTTAGAAAATGTTAGTTACAGATAAAAATTTGTTTTCTCGAAAGGTAGTCAGACCCTCCAGAAGCATTTACATCAGTTTGTGTTATTTGTTTATTTTTTAAATTAATGATGAGGGAAAGTAAAAAATTTCATGACAGTTTATAAATCTCTGATAATTTAAATAAAAGGAGAGAGGGAAAAAACAAGAATCAATCCAAGGTACTCCAAATAAGGATTTGAGAAAAATTGTCGCCAAGGCTTCTCTACCTGACAAATAGACAGACAAGAAAAAAATAAAACAGACACATCCTAAAGGCAGTAAGAAAGTACACAGCTACTGGTAGAATGGGAAATTGAATTTGGGATCAATATAGGATATAACAATTTTCAGAGCTACTTAAGTGATTATTTTATTAGATGAGGTTTCTTTAAACTTTTCACTGCTCACCAGTCTAAAAATTTATTTTTTATTATTATAGTACATTCTGTTTCATGAAAGCGTTTCTAGGACTCACTGATCCAATGGGACGATATTGGTTTATATTGAAACATATACTTTACTGCTGGTAGATGTGAGCAACCTCCTTCTTGCAAGAACTTCAGGATAATCAAAGTGACAAAACCTGATAGCAATTTAATCTGTTTTAAAAAGGCTTCTCTCTATTATTTTGCTTATTGAGATGGAAAAAAATTACAAACCCACTTACAAGACAGATAGTAGCAGTTCATTTTCTCTACATAAGGTGGCAGAGCAGCCTTACCTTCAGTACTAAGTATTCTCAGACTTATTTCACTAAGATGAAGTAGAAAAAAGGAATCTGTATTTTGTTTCATTTTGTCCACTAACTAGCCTCTTCCTCCGGCTCCGTGTTACAGTAAAAATTCATATAATATTACAACAAAAAATTTATATAGTTCATGAATAGGATACCAGAACACACAACCCCTTAAATAAATAACAGATGCAGATTATCCTGATTTGTTCAGGATTTTGTGAACTCCATGTATTAAATACTTTCAGAAACATTTTCTTTGCATCACAGAAAAGCAGAACATCAGAATACCGGATGATCAATGGATCACAAACCACCAACTCCAGTTCTAGTGAGTTTCCACCAAGATAAGAAGTCAGATGTGTCAGATGGATATACCATAGCAGACTAATAAGACAAGTAGTTTAGTATTCTTTCTACAACTGTGATGAACAGGAAGATGGTATACATGAAGGTTCCAGCCACTACACTCTTGAAGGTGCAATACCATACTACTTATTATTTGGCATAGTCCTACCTTAGTAGGCCATGTGGGATGGATCCTAGCTCTGAAGCATCCTCTCCACTCTTCCAGCTCCTCCTTAGTTCATGCTGAGGCAGCAGTGACAATGGTAGTGACGATGGCATTAATCAGACTTCGTATCAAGAGTAAGTACCATACCAGGTGCATTCAGAAATATGCCTTCAGCTTCATGCTCTTCACCCACAGGGAGATGGCAGCATTGCACTTTGAGCTGCAGGTGCCTCAAAAGACACGATAACACCTACTGCTGGTGAAGTAAGGACTGCCTGAGCAGTCACACACTCTCTCCTCGAGGAAAAGGCAGTAGTCTAGCTAAAAGCATCCCGGCAGGCAGAATTGGCCCACAGATGGAACCTGATGTCATGCATTATTATAAATAATATTTTACTGCAATTACAGGGTTTCCAAACCCATCATAAAGATGGATGACAGGCATATGTCTTTGCTGTGGCTAATGCTTATTCCAGATTCTCTGTATGGCCAAAAGTTCTAAACATGATCCTGCTGGATTAAAACATTTTGCGTTTTTTATCCCAATTCCTACAAATGTTTCAGACAAATTAATCAAGCAGTGCATCAGCTACAACCAGCAATGAGTCCATTATGTCTGACAGTGATCTCCTATTGACCTCTATTTCTTCAGAAAGCATGGTACTATTCATGTAAAAGTTAAAAGCAGATTTTCAAAGTTAATATTCAAACCTAAATATAGAATCCTAAATTAAAGACTTAGCATTTCTCAGCAAATCTCATTTGCAAGGAGGGGGATGGTGGTGTTAAAATATATTTTAGTGACATTTCCCAGCTGTTGGTTTTGCAGATTATTGCAATCTCAACCAAATCCAAGAAAGCCTGAAACAAAATTGCAAAAGGGTATGAATTCTTTTAAACTCAGCTCTTCATGATTCAACTGACAGCAGCTTTGGTTTTGGTGGAAAAGCAATGGATACCCATGGCAAGGTCTGAAACTAGACATACATTGAGTGTGCCTAGCACTAGGAGCCAGTGGTTACTAACTGGTTTATGATTGAAGTCAACAGTCCTGAAAAAAACACTGAGGTTCATCACCAAGCAGTCAGACCATCCTTAGTTCTGGAACTTCTTACTAAGTGGCATTTGGCACTAAATGCTCTTTTACCAACTACTTGAACTAATCTAATGCTTTTTTTTAAAAAAAACAAAAACACAAAAACAAAACAAAAACCAAACCAAACCAACCAAGTGTTACTGAATAGCCTACAGGTAAAAGAATTGTCCTAACTTCCACAAATATGACCAAAGATAAATTTTACTCTTTGACTCTGAAGCATTTTAGATAAGTGCCTGTATACACACACATAAATTTGGTAATAAATCCACTGTCTGAAGTCAAAGCTAAGCAAACACAGACTAGAAATAGAAATAATGAACAAGTTCTGGTAAAGAGTTATTATCCACTGCAACAGTTCCCTGAAGACTGTTATGTCTGGATTTAAAGATCCTCAGCAGAGAGTGTACTTTTCTAAAAAGCATACTCTAATTTGAACACAGGTGAATTTAATGCAAGACAGTGATTTGTGGTCCATGTGAAATGGCCAGCTAGAGAATCATAATAATCTCATGTCTTCTAATCTATTTATAAGTATTTAAAATTTCACAGAGGAAGAATATTAAGGATGGATACTTTATTGCTTTGAACAATTCGGTGATGTAAGCATCCGGCAAACAGCCCTTTAAAAACAGAGACCTATAACCTAATATTTTGACAAATGCTTGGCTGTAAATGTTTTATTTTTATGAAACAAAGTCGAAAGATGCTGGAAATTTTTCTCAGCAGCAGTGTTAAGTAGATCTTTCTGTAGCTCAGGGAAAGTTTTTCTTTGCCTTTGATGCTCAAAATGCATAATTCCCTACAGTTTTCCTCTCTTTTCATTCATTCCTGCATTGTGGTGACTCAACCCCAATGAAATGAGTAGGACACATGAAAAAATAAATGTATCAAAGAAATCAAGCCTACAAGCCATAGCAAGGTTGACTTAAACTAACGAAAGCCATGAAAATCTTTAAAGAAAAACGTTAGCAATAAGTTCTTGTTTGTATTCTTTAGACCAAGCATTTTTAGCACTTCACCCCCATTTGTCAAGTCTCCCTGACATTGCATATCAGGACAGAAGCCAAAGAATGTGGGCTGGATTCACAGTTGCAATATACCTTATGTAGCTCTGGGCAACAAATCACAAAGCAGATGACAAAGAGAAGCCAGGCTATCATAAGGAAAAGTGAGGCAACAGGAAAGGGAAGAGAAAGAGGAAACACACTTTTACCTCCTCCTTTCCTACAATAAGATGGCTAATGTTTGTTTTCCTATACTTATTTTTACCAGCTTCAGCACTATCATTTACCTGATTCTCTAGTTTCAGCTGTCGTAGTTTCATGCTTTCATCCTCAAAGATGCTAGGAAAGGGAAAGAAACAAATTAATTATTGCTAGCAAATAGTTTGCAGTATAAGATCACAAGATATTAACAGACTAAAACTTCACCATCAAGACTTTAAAAAAACTGTAAGACATAATTTCTATCCCATGAGAAGACCAAGTTACAAGGCATTAAAAAATAGGAAGAAATTTTTCACTTTAAAGGTGATAAGGTACTGGAACAGGTTGCCCAGAGAAGTTGTGGAAGCTCCATCCCTGGAGGTGTTCAAGGCCAGGCTGGATGGGGCTTTGAGAAACCTGGTCTAGTGGGAGGTATCCCTGCCTATGGGAGGGGGGTTGGAACTCGATAATCTTTAAGGTTCCTTCCAGCCTAAACCATTCTATGATTCTATGATACTTCATAGTCTGTCATAAACAGGACAAAATTGTACTTCAATCACCTTCATAAACTTTTCTGAAAACACTTTGTAAGTAAAAAAGGCTTCATTACTGATGCACAGATTATGAGCCACTATTTAGGTGGGCTATGAGACAATATATCTCAAGGCTTAACACAGTTGAAACCAGTTCACAAAAGTCTCTTCTCCTTTATAAAATGCCCAATTCCAATTTAACTCAGAATTTTCGGTTGTCTTGGAGTCAAACCTACACCATTTTCTCCTCCTACCAGACTTCCCAGAACTACCGTTAATACCTGAGAGAATCTGTATTTGCAACACTTGATATTAATTTCTATAGAGAAAAAAATAATTATTTCACTATATAAGTGTTTTATAGATAACTTTCATAAGAACTCTAGCTTTTCAAACCAAGTTGTGTTCCATACAGACTTCGCACGTCCTTTTGTACAATAATAAATTATTACATAAAGTGCAATTTAGAGCAGTTAATCCTACAAAGGGGAAAGTTTAATTGACAAGCAAGCACATATTCTGCCTACCACAGCTGTACACTTTCCTCGTACACATCTTTGACAAAGACCTCTCTGGAAGTGAGAAAGCATCAGAAAGAAGATACTTAATACAAGAAACAGACAAACATTATATATTTTATTGATGGCACGCAGAAAAGCAGGGCTAGCCAAAATTTCAATTTAAACAGGAAATTTTCTGTCTGGTCTAGGTATGCAGAAATGTCCAACGAAGTCACAAGCTTGCAGGCAGTGCTGAATATAACCCTAACAAGGAAAATTGGAGCGACGGAGCAACCTTCCTTCCAGCACTTGGTCATCTTAAAAGTGTAACATAATAACCAGACAAAAAAGAGCTTCCCACACATACACACACTTCAAACTTTTTTCTACCCACCGCAGCCGGGCTGGTGTTGTTACAGACCTTAGAGGAAAAGGCTGTGCCAGAGTCACTCCCACAGCTCACCACTAAGGAATGCAAGTAGTGTGCTAATACAGCTGCAGGCTTCCAACAGGAATCCTCCTTCAGATGGACTGACTACACAGAGCAGTACGTCTAAGTGCTCTTCAGACATGCCCACGCAAAACCACTATGCTTTTCACTATGCTTTTCTATTTGAAGGGTTTGCATGCAATAAGAGGAAATAAATATCCAGTAGGAACAAGAAAAATAAGCAGCATTTCTGTAGCTACACCAACACAGTTCAAAACAGGAAAAAAAAAAAACAAAACCAAACCACACCACCAAACCAGTCAGCCTATTTATCAAACCTTTGATAAATAAGAACTGAAAATATTCAAGTCATGATCTTCCTCTTCCCAACTGTTCCAGTAGAGCAGACTACATGAGACCCTGCCCACCAAACTCCTCTGCTACATTTACCAGGATCCACCAGCTCTCCTATTAAAGCTGCATGATGGGTAACAGACACATGCCACAGAGAAAGAAAAAAACGACCCAGAATGTAACATAGAAGTGAAGACTAATGATTATCCAGGATACAGCATAAAAAGAGTGGGAAAGCAACTATTTAACAAAAACACTCAGCTAAGAAGATAGAACAGCATGTCTGAATGTGGGAGAAGACAGCGAGACATAAAGGAGTTCACAGATCGGTTTCTCCTCACAGATCCATTTCCAGATTCAACATAGTCCAACATGAAGCAGAATGTCTTATTTTTAAATTATTCCACCTCAAGTTCAAAACTGAAATCAGAATTAGCCTTATTTTCATCGTCTAAGCAGAAATTAAGTGTTGCAATAGGAATATGAACAACGAATTTATTATAGATGTGTTTATTTGGTCTTTCCTAACCATTTTCAGAACGTCAAACTAACCACAATGACGAGATAGCTCACAAGTTATTTAACAGATGTTCGTATATGCAATTCATTTCTATGCAGCGTATTTTCGTTTTTGCAAAAAAGACACACTACATCTATTAACAGTTCCTTCAGAATGGACGTATTATTACTCAATAACACACTGCAGTTTGCAATTACAAACTATGTTGTAAAGCATACATATGGATAGACAGAGTTGACACTCTCGTTTTCATTGCAAGTTCTCTGTGTTCCTGAATATATTATACTTAAAAACCCCAAACCAGTTATGTTCTAAGCACTTGGCAATAATTACCATTGAACCAGACAAATACAAACTGACACTACAACGCAACTCTGAGAATAATGAAATAGCCTGATATTAAACAGGAGAACCTAGGGCAAGAGAGCAATCCACCAGTCTAAAAAGGGTCTTCCCATTCTGTCTGAGGTCCACACAAGAGAAACATTTCTGAAGAGGGTTCAGC